CTCTTAAAGACACCAGGGGTGTCTTAACAGGATCTAAACGCTATTCTGTACTTTTGTGCACTCAGATCCCAGCTATCTGGGGATGGGTTACATGTATATATTTTATGTGACAAATGTAACATTATGTATTTTATTGTATTTTAGTTTTTTTATTGTAACCATGTGGTTAATGGAGTTTTGCCTCTGTCCTTGGAGATAATTGAATTACTTCCCAATTATCTCCAGGATAGAGGGGAGGGATTGTAATGTACTGTGGGAGTGTACTCTGGGAGTGTTTTAACCCTGTATGCCTATGATTGGTCATTTTACCATTTGTGTCCCAGTCTTCCATCTGGTCCCCTAGGGGAGTGTCCACCAGGTGGAAGACCTGCATAAATACCGGGCATGTAGCCCACATGAAACCAGACCACTGTTTTACCCTCAACACGGAGCTCTGTCTCTTCTTTGGGGGGGATTTACTGTATGCTGTTAGAGACTGATTGCCAGGAGTGTAAGCCGCTTGGGTGCTTTTCCTGTTCGTCTGCTAGCAGCTATTCGTGAGGTTCCAGTTTCGGAAGTTTGGAGTGCTATTTTGTATGCAGTTCGGGAGTTGGGAGCATTCCCTTGTATTCAGTTCGGGAGTTTGGTGTTCTGCAGTAGCTGTGCCTGTGTCTCTGGAAGGGAAGATCTACTAAACGGCAGTTTAACCCTTTCATACCTGGGGGTGCCGTTACAGACAACTTCCTGTGAAATGTGGAATTGCGAAACCACCTTAGGCAGGAATTCCATTCTCTGTCTTAAAGGGACACTATAGTCACCAGAACAACTACAGCTTAATGTAGTTGTTCTGGTGAGTATAATCATTATATGCAGGCATTTTCATGCAACCACTTTACATTGCCTTTAGGGACACCTCCAAGTGGCCACTCCTCAGATGGCCACTGGAGGTGCTTCCTGGCTCAGTGCTGCACAGTAGGCATCAATGCCATTCAGGGTTTCCACACTCTGCATGGGGACACTGAATTTTCCTCATAGAGATGCATTGATTCAATGCATCTCTATGAGGAGGTGCTGATTGGCAAAAATGACATTTGGTCCCACCCCTTGATGATTTTAGCCAAATCAATGTTTTCCCTGTTTTGATTGTGGCGGTATACCCTCTTAAGGATGGGTTACTACCGCCTGTGGTCACCCCTTCCTAATTGTACCCAGCCCTAGAGTGATTATAGCAACTAGCCAGTGACTATAGTCACTTGCAGGAGGGCAAGATACACAGTATTAATGCACAGACACCCCGACGTTCTTGTGTCTGGGTCGTCTCTGTTCCCTGGACCTCACACTGCTGCTGGGGAATGAGACCGGTCATCTCCGCTCCCTGGACCTCACGCTGCTGCTGGGGAATGAGACCGGTCATCTCCATTCCCTGTACCTCACCCTGCCGCTGGGAAACGAGACATATCGTCTCCATTCCCTGGATCTCACCCTGCCGCTGGGGAATGAGACCAGTTGTCTCCGTTTCCTGGACCTCACACTGCCACTGGGGAGGAAGGACAAGACTCAACTCTCCCGGGGTTGCAAAGTGTAATGACACCCCGGGTATAGAAGGGGTTAACGCAGCCAAAGATGTTCCCTTCCCGAATGCCAGATCAGCTACCGAACACTCCTAAGCACCGAACAGGAAAACACACGAATAATCCCCCCACCCCAAGTACGAGACGAGGCTCTGTATTGAGGGTCAAGCAGGAATCTGTTTAATGTGGGCTACATACCCGTCTTTTATGCAGGTCTTCCACCCAGGGACACTCCCACAGGGACCTGGTGGAAGACTGGGACAAGTTTTTACAGTAACCAATCAAAAGTATACATATGGATAAACACTCCCACATGAACATTACAAACCTTCCTCTCTATCCTGGAGATAATTGGGTTAAGTGCTTGAAGTAACTCAATTACCTCCAGGGATAGAGCATAATCTCTATTTTACATGAACAGTGAAATGCAGAATCCCCACTTTCAACGTATCCCCAGATAGCTTAGATCTGAGAGCACAATATCCCCCAATAGCGCTCAGATCCCATACACACAGTTCAATCGCCAGGACGCTAAAGTCTTGCACATAGTGTATTCGTCAAACGAATGGGCTCCATGGGATGTCTATCTGGGGTGGCTCTGTTCGTATACTCAATGTACCGAACGGCATGGCATTCGTATGATTTTAGTTCCATGAATTTGTCGACGAACACCGCTGGGCGTTCGAATGTCCAAGATGACCGCCGCCATACGAACGACGACCACCCAGTCGACCATTCGGGAGTTGGAAGTGTCCGCGGTTAACCACAGCGTTAATGAGGGCAGAAAGGTTAATAAGCTGCACACTTCCCTGCTGGGTGGCCTGCCATTCGTTAGTTCTTTCGTGAAAAGGAGAATAAACATAGAGCCGTATGGACAAGGGACAATAACCAAACAAACAGACGTACCAAGGTTAAATCCCAGTAATACAAAGACAGAGAGGTCTGTCACACGAAGTTCATAAGCGCTATCATTTCCGAGACAGGCGGCGTTGTATGGTGAAACAGATGTACATAGTTGTGCTGAAGCTTCCACTCCAGGTTAGTAAGAATTGTCAGGTCCGGTCCCACACATGTAGCTCCCGAGAGATTATGCAGGACCTCTCTGTGGTCACAGATGTCCCAGAATTTAAAGTCTCTAGGGCTTCTAAACATACTCAGCCATCCATGGGCATTGCTGGACCGTGTACCACCATAACCCCCAGTAAGCGTCGTCCAGCCACAGCTCCCAACCTGTCAGGAGCTCAAGTTCTATCACCCTCTCCTCCATGAGCTGCTCTCCCAGAAAAGGCAACCGCAGAGCCACTTGTTCCTGAGAGCGCTGCTTGCGGCTCGGAAGGCTTTTTCTCTGCCGAACCTGAGCTCCGTCCACGCCATCGTACCAGATTCCTTTCCAAACTACATCCCTCCATTCCAGGACACTCGCCTCTGAGGCAGGACCATAATCCTGGGACAGAACTTCTTCCAGCCTTCGCTGGAACTCCTCTTCGTATGGGGACGCTGCATGGGTGCTAGCCCGCTCAATTCTCCCGAGTTCCTCTTCAAACCTTCATAACGCTGATCCATCTGCTGCTGGTTTGAATCTGGCTTCAAGGAAGGGGACCATCCCACCGCTGCCACCATATGTGGCGGTATGCCCTCTTGAGGATGGGTTACTACCGCCTGTGGTTGCCCCTTCCTAGTTGTGCCCAGCCTTAAAGTGATTTTAGCGGTAACCAAGTGATTATAGATACACAGCATTTATGCACAGACCCCTGCAGGGGGTCTCCATTCACAGCAATACAAAACATAAGCCCACCCTGGCATCGCTGTATCTGGGAGAGAATGGTATTTCCCAGACACAAGAAGCTGAAGACACAAATCCCACCATAATACACACCATACAGTAACGCACCCCCACCTGCCATACATCCCCGAATAGCACCTGGTCACCGCTTTGATCCCTGCAAATAGCGATCGAATGTACAGAGCCCGAGAAATCATCATATAAAGTTTGGGCTTGAGGCTCTGTACATACCCGAAAACAGAGAATCACTTGGTTTTGGCCAGTAGATTCAATTTTGCACCTAAATCACATGCCGGCCAATCTGGAGAAAAGGTGCAAAACCAACTTGCACCAATCGGTGCTCAGGGAAGGGAGGTGTTTCGCCAACCAATTGGGAGAAATGGCACAAAATCAGCTTGAATTGTAGCTCTTCTCCTATTGGCAGGCACAGACTTCCAGGTGGCCAGCGGGACTCTGCGGCTTGTGAAGCCGACTCACAGCTCCCAGTCTCTTGTGGGGGTATTCAATGACGGTGTTCCGTCACACTGATGCTGTCACCAAGGGGGCGGGGCCAGTGCCGGCGGACCTGCGCGGCGCTGGGAATAAGGTGAGTTTTATTAACTTTTGAGGGGGCTAAGGGAGGGCAAGCCACCTAAATTGTAGGTTTTTCACTATAGGGTCAGGAATACATGTTTGTGTTCCTGACCCTATAGTGTTCCTTGAAGATTATTTTATAATGGAAGACCTGAATGTCTTTCATCACTGGAAAATGCTTGCATTTGAGACATTCTTTTAGCCATGGTAATTGCCACTAAGAACAATGTCTTATATGTCAGAAGATTAATACCCAACTCATCCAAAGGAGCAAAAGGGGTGTCTGACAGAACATCCAGCACCATAGGAAGATCCCAAGGAGGAGCATAATTTCTGGATTGAGGTCTTATACATATAGCTGCCTTGAAGAACCTGTCGTTCAGAGGATCTGATGCCCATGAGGTGTTAGACAATGCAGATAAAGCTGATGACTGTACTTTTAATGTTCTTAGGCTTAAACCCTTTTCCAGACCTGCATGTAAGAATTTTACAACATTATTAGGAGGTATCTCTTATTCTGTGATAACACACTGAAGTGGAACTCTTTCTTGATTTCAAAAGTGTCTCAGCCACAGATTCAGTTAATGCTTGTTCTAAGAGTCTATTCTTTTCAAGAGCCAGGCCCCCAATTTAAACTGGTTGGGATTTTGATGAACGGCTGGACCTTGGAGTAGTAAATCTGGTCTCTGAGGAAGCGGCCATGGAGGACTCAAGCTCATTCTCTTCAGGATCAGGAACCAAGGCCTCCTTGACCAAATTGGAATTATTGCTAAAACCATCTTCCCTTCTTTCCAAACTTTCCTCAATAATCGGTGTATCATAGGCAGGGGAGGGAATGCATAAACAAGATCGAAGTCCCAGGGAAGGGACCTACGTATTCTAGATAAAGATCTTGAGGCAGAGTGAGAAGCTATGTATTAAAAGAACGTAAAGAATGATTTTAAGAGATAAAATCCTTACGCAAAGGAAAAAAGTGTAAGAAAATAAATTTAGCAAGATAGTAAACGTACCTTATTAGATCAATTTTCTCTCTAGGGCAGTCTTCCAGAAAGCTTTTACAGGTTCCAATCACTTCTGCGCAATGTCTCTTTAAGGATGCGACCACTCGTGCATGCGCAAACGGAGTTCCTGGACGCCGATGCTACTGCTCATGCTCCACAAGCCAAGAGCAGAAAGAACCCGGGGAAAGTTGGCGAAACCACACATTTTGTCTCAGAGGGAGCCAGGCACATCATGAAGCCTGATGCAGATACAAGGCACAAGAAATCAGGTAATTATTAAAGTAAGAAAAGATAGACTTACCCAGGTTTCTCCCAATACTCTGCCCCATGACCAGAGGGGGTTATTTGATGCATACAAGGGGAATTTTTAAGGTATCTCCAACCCCACAGCAATGTAAATATTTGCAGCGTATATAGGATTCCCATGATATGGTACATATACTAATTTGTACTGTAACGGACCGTTTTGCACACAAGGGGTAAAAACCGTTTAGGCGATCGTCCCCCTTTCCAGAGATGCAGGCACAGCTACTGTAGAACACCAAACTCACGAACCGCCAATAAGGGAATGCTCCAAACTCCCGAACGGCATCCAATATAGCACTCCAAACACGCGAACAGGAACCATACGAATCTCTGCTAACAGACGAATAGGAAAAGCATCCAAGCAGCTTACACTCCTAGCAATCAGTCTCTATCAGCGTTCAGTAAATCCCCCCAAAGACGAGACAAGGCTCCATGTTGGGGGTCAAGCAGTGGTCTGTTTAATGAGGGCTACCTGCCCAGTATTTATGCAGGTCTCCCACCTGGTGGACACTCCCCTAGGGGACCAAATGGGAGACTGTGACAAAGGACAGACAAGTAGACAAATAGGACACACAGTCACATTATATTCCCACAATGCATCCTGGCTTCCTCCCCTCTGCCTTGGAGATAATTGAGAAGTAATTCAATTATCTCCCAAGACAAAGGCAAATCGCCATTATGCACGTGGGGATACTAACACACGAATTACTATTAAAATACACTATGTGAGACACATAACATTAAAAGCATACATTTAACATATCCCCAGATAGCTCAGGTCTGAGCGCACATTATTAAGCGAATGGCGCTCAGACCACACAAATACAGTTTAATCGCCATGGAGCTAAAGTCTTTACACAGTCAGTTTCATACGAATGAGCTCCATGGGATTCCTATCTGGGGTATAACACATTCAAGCAAAACTACCGAACACCGGGCCGTTCATGCACTTTGACCGAACAAGAAGGGAGGTCAGCGGCTTCAGCGGTGTTCGCGCGAAACTGTGTCCGATTTCAGTTCCATGAATTAAGTGTCGAACACCGCGGTGCATTCGCATATTTAAAATGGCCGTGACCTCGTGTTCGTGATACGAATGGCGGCCACCCAGCATTCGTCAATTAAGCTGTGGTTAACTGCAGCTTCAGGGAGGCTAATTGCCGGCACACTCCAGCTCCCAGGTGGTCCAGTCATTCGTGCGGTTGTTCGGTAGATTGAATCTACCGAACACCAGGCAGAAAAGAACGAATAAATCTTTTCTGCAAGTAAAAAGATGTCTTTTAACAGGGGGCCATAGTCCAAAGGCAGCAGGCAGGCAACCAGGCTTCTCCAATGCAATGTGGCAAGATTGCTCTCGTCACATGTACCTAACTCGGTTAGTCCGGCTCCTGGAGGCTGATTACTGAGTTATTCAGGTGAACAGAGGCTGAACTTCATCTGGTAAGCATGGGAAGGTGACATCAACATTTATTTTTTCTTAAGAGACAAATTCCTGTTTGTCCTGTTAAGGACAGAAAAAAAGACTGTGGGATAGAGGGAGGAGGGACCTTTACCTACAGACTGGTTCTAATTAGTTAAAGGGATACTTCAGGCACCCAGACCACTTCTGCCCATTGGAGTGGTCTGGGTGCCAACTCCCACTGCAAGTGTAATTATTGTAGTTTTCATAAACTGCAATATTTACATTGCAGGGTTAAGTCCTCCTTTAGACAGCCACTAGAGGGACCTCTGTGTTCATAGAACACGAAAAGTGTTTTCAGCGAAGCTGGACGTGCTCATGCTATGTGAAGACCTCCAGCATCGCTGAAATCACCATAGGAAAGCATTGTATAAAAAATTAGTAAGATAGTAAACGTACCTTATTAGATCAATTTTCTCTCTAGGGCAGTCTTCCAGAAAGCTTTTACAGGTTCCAATCACTTCGGCGCAATGTCTCTTTAAGGACGCGACCACTCGCGCATGCGCAAACAGAGTTCCTGGACGCCGATGCTACTGCTCATGCTCCACAAGCCAAGAGCAGAAAGCGTTGTATAATGCTTTCCTATGGGGAGGTCTAATGCGCGTGTTCTGGACTCGTCACTACGTCACTAACCCATAAGTGATGTTGCCATGATTAGCCAGGAAATGCTGATATACTAATCCATCTTAATATCCTTAATTCCTGTTTCATTCAATTAAAAAAAAAAATGAAATAAACATCAGAACATCATTTAATATCTACAAGTTTACTGAATATATATATATATATATATATATATATATACATATATTGGAAGGCGGGGCCTGAAGTTTAAAAGGGACTCCCCCTCCTACCTCATTTACTTTCTGGTCCAGGTGCTCGTTTGGACTTCCGGTTTCCCTGCATGGTCTCAGTGGCAGATAGCAGCTCCTACTGACAGCTTGCCTGCTGCCTCGTTTCTTGGAAACTTGCGTCACCCATCCCACTCGTTTTCTGCCTAAACAGTGAGTTTGCAGACCGGTATCATTGTACCGGTCTGCAGCATATGTATAGCCCGACCTGCCGAGGTCCAGGGCTACCATTTTTCAATGCACACAGGGTTATGGCAAATCCCCACGGGCAAGCTTACGAGGGCTGCCCATGCCGGCATACTGACAAAATATATATGTAAGCCACGAACAACCCCCCCCCCCCCGAACCCTCACGGGATTCCTCAGCCGACCGCAACACATATACCGGGCGACCGGTTCCTTACGCAGCCAGCAACCTTGTTAATCCCCCCTAGCTCGGCCAGACGATTCCCTGCAGGAATCTGTGGCAATCTAAACCGGCAGGCTATACCGAGCTCCGGGCGGCAGAGCACACAGTGAGTACAGACGGGTACAGGTATACACCGTCTGTATCTCACGGGACATACATCAATCACTCCTATATTTCCACCCCCCCCCCCCAGTGTCACGAGCACTAAGGCAACGGTCTACTGGAAGAAGCCTGTTGTGGGCGAAACGCGTTTAGAAATTGTTTTAATATGTTTATACTGTTATATTAAAGGAATTTTGGCCTCAAACTTTTTCTGCCACATTCCTTATTTTATTTCTAATTTTTATTTCATACCTGACTAACCTGAGCCAATACGGATTTACGGAAAATCCTTAGGTGGGGATCATACCACCCATGCGCTAAAAATTGAGCAGATAAGAATGCTCAATACTCTGTAAGTACATTTCATACCTTCTTTTTAACTTATATTAAACAGTGAGCACTATATTCTCCTTATTTGTTTTAATTTCCAGGTCGGAGTCTACGGTGGAACATTTTTTCTGCAAGTCACCGCTCCATACATCCCAGAGTGGGGATCATTCCACTCCACGCATTTCATACCAGAGCTGGATTTTAGCTCTGGAAATTGTGAGTAATTCAAATTTATTTACATATATTTCCGTTTATATCAACATACTGTACCATTGGTCGTCTCTTTACTTTTTCCACATATGGCCTATTGAGAAATACAACTCATCTCCTGGAAAAAAGACTAGACTATGCTACAAAGAACACTCTTCATTTATTTGTGGACTATATATTTGGACTTTCTTACTTCATTTAAAATATCTATAGTTTATATAATTTGGACTTCCTTTTACTTTATTTTTATATTTTTTATACTTTTATATATTTCCATTAAAGGCGCACCCTATTTCCTTAGATTTTTCTGTTCTGTATCCAACCACAAGGGGATAGGAGGGTACCCCCTTTATAGGTATGCTGCCTTTCTACTACTGTGTTAATTATTTTTTGTGGCATTTTTAGCGCTGATCCTATTTTGACTATTTTACCATTACAAGCCCAACCTGGTAATCATAATACCCCCACCATCCTTGGGTCACAAGGGATCAACCCGGCCCATATGGTACCAGCAAATCTTAAGAAGGATATCCTGGAGGGCAAGGATGTCCATTTAGTCTCTCTGCTCATTGCCTTTCAGGATATCACAAAAAATGCTCATATACAGTCAGGTCTATAAATATTGGTACATCAACACAATTCTAATCTTTTTCGCTCTATACACCAACACAATGGGTTTGAAATGAAACAATTAAGATGAGCTTTTACTGCAGACTTTCAGCTTTGATTTGAGGGTATTTACATCCAAATCAGATGAACAGTGTAGGAGTTACAACAGTTTGTATATGTGCCTCCCACTTTTTAAGGGACCAAAAGTAATGGGACAGATTAACAGTCATAAATCAAACTTTCCCTTTTTAATACATGGTTGCAAATTCTTTGCAGTCAATTACAGCCTGAAGTCTGGAACGCATAGACATCACCAAACCCTGCGTTTCATCCCTGGTGATGCTCTGCCAGGCCTCTACTGAAACTGTCTTCAGTTCCTGCTTGTTCTTGGGGCATTTTCCCTTCAGTTTGTCTTCATGAAGTGAAATGCATGCTCAATCGTATTCAGGTCAGGTGATTGACTTGGCCATTGCATAACATTCCACTTCTTTCCCTTAAGAAACTCTTTGGTTGCTTTTGCAGTATGCTTCGGGCCATTGTCCATCTGCACTGTGAAGCGCCGCCCAATGAGTTCTGAAGCATTTGGCTGAATATGAGCAGATAATATTGCCCGAAAAACTTCAGAATTCATCCTGCTGTTTTTGTCAGCAGTCACATCATCAATAAATACAAGAGAACCAGTTCCATTGGCGGCCATACATGCCCACGCCATGACACTACCACCACCATGCTTCACTGATGAGGTGGTATGCTTTGGATCATGAGCAGTTCCTTTCCTTCTCCATACTCTTCTCTTCCCATCACTCTGGTACAAGTTGATCTTGGTCTCATCTGTCCAAAGGATGTTGTTCCAGAACTGTGAAAGCTTTTTTAGATGTTGTTTGGCAAACTCTAATCTGGCCTTCCTGTTTTTGAGGCTCACCAATGGTTTACATCTTGTGGTGAACCCTCTGTATTCACTCTGGTGAAGTCTTCTCTTGATTGTTGACTTTGACA